CACTTATACATGTTTTTTAAGAAATTATGTTCTTAATTTAATGTTATCTACTTCATAACTTGTAGGGAGTTAGTGTAATTTTTAAAATTGTTTTATGTTAAGTATTAAATTGAATTTAATAATAGTGCATAATACACACTTCTGTTAGTTTCATAAATGGATAATTGCTTTATTCTATTCGTTTTTTTTTTTTTTTGTTGTTTGTTTGTTTGTTTGTTTGCTGATAGGTCCTTAATTTTTTCTTTGATGGTCCTTAAAAGTCCTTAACTTTCATGTAAGGAAATGTGTATGAACCCTGTAAAAGTTTTTCAATTTAAAAAGCTGGTGAGACATGTCATTTTTCGCTCTTTTGTTTGCTTGTGCATGTAATCTTTTCTTTAAGTGGCATTCAGAATTTTAAATGGTGCATGCCTGCGTGCATGTCTGTGTACATACATGCCTTGTACTCAGTTCAATGTCATACGCCATTTCTACCATGTCTTTTGTATTTTATGTAACCTTGTTTTAATTTTTCAATAAACACCCGAATGATTCTGACGAGCTGTACCCTGGCTTTGGTCGGCAGATAGTGGTAGATATTTTTGGAGGGTTGTGTTACTCTGTTTGGTGGCCTCGAGCTCATCTTGGGTCAAAGTGCACCCCTTTCCAGATGTATGAATAGCAAGTGATTCAAAACTATAAAATAATTTCTGTATTTTTAATGTAATGATTTTGATCCATTGAATCACTGTTGTTTAAAACTTCTCAAAATTTATGTAGTTACTAAAATTTGCAGATTTTAATTATGCCAGACAGACCGGTGACTATTGACGGAAGTTTAATGTTGTTTTGTGTAATAAGTAAATACAGAAAAAAAAAAAAAAAAAAATGCTGGAAAAACAATGGCTATTTGATTTTTAATTGGTGTATCATGAGATTAAATGTAAGCTAAAAAGTTGGGAAAGGAGCTCGAGCTAAGAGAGTTTCACTTGTAAACATGTTAAGATGGATATGGGTAATGTAAGTAAGGGCAAAAATGCCTAAGTTAAAAAAAAGCTAATAATTTATTAATGAAAATTTTTTAGGATTTTTCTTAACAGATAAGTTTTTCAAATATGATAAAAATGGCATGCATTACACAATGGTATGAAGGGTGGCTGACTTTCAGTAAAAAATTATGAATCTGCTATTAAGTGACAAACATATCAACTCGGTTTAATCCTTCATACTGACAACATATTTATTTGTATCACTTGTATATAAAAATATTAATGCATTGAAATAATTTTTTTATCATTGCTAAGTATAAAATGGTTTATTAATGCATAATTTTTAAAGGTTGTATTGGTTGATCAGAATTCTGTATTTGAATGTAGCAGCATTTATTGTAAAAATTTATTTTATTTCATACACAGAAACGAGATTCGTACTGGGAGCATTATATAACAGTCTTTCTCCTCCCAATGGCATCTGCCAAAAGAGACTCTGAGGCAAGAGAGAAGTTGTGATGTAAAATATAGTATGTGATGTGCACTTCTTGCTGATTTTCTGATGCGGCACATCTCATTGCTGGCATGAATAAAGTGCTACTGTGTAGTGATCTCGAGAGCCAGTCAAAGCTCGCAAGTTTGAAAGAGTTAGAATTCTATATCACTAGCACAAAAGAGCTCCCATGCGGTAGTTTCAAGAATTGTGGCTTGCAAGATTTTTACATGTTTAACATTAGTTAATAATTGAATTTATTTTCACTTTGTATATTACTCTTGAAAATACCAGAAGTTTGAATGTCTTTTATCCATCATCAACACCAGAAGTATGTACATGTTTTGTCCATCAAACAAATAAAGGCGGAATTTTTTTTTTTTTGTTGACAGATAAAAAGAGGATGTTTCTCATTTAAAATTCTTATTTTTCATATCTATTCCTTCATCTGTATTACTTAGAGAAAATTCTATTTTCATGTATACATTTTCATTATTTGATTCTCTACCTTTCATCTGACAAGTGATTGTGGTTGTAAGATGCCAGGGTAAAACAAAAGTATTATCATCCATATAATTTATGGTTTTTTTTAATAAATTAAAGGAAGCATTTTTAGGTTTTGTCAATTATTACTAATATAAAAGCTGATACTATAATACTGGTCACAGTATTTAAAAATGAAGCAACCTTACAAAGGGAAAGCATTTTGAATAACTACAAAAAAAAAAAAGTAGTTAGTGTCTCAGAATATTCATAATTTTGATGACATAAAAACTGTAGAAAAATTAAATTATGCAAAGGGTCAAATTACTTTTTTAAATAGCTTGGTTGTGATTTAAACTACTGAAAGAAATATGCTAATTGTGTGTCTAGAGTGATTGAATTGTAAAGTTTATCCAAAGACATTCATAAATTAAAAAAATTATAATGATCTAATGTTTAAAAAGGTTTGGAAATGTCACCAAGATAATAATTTTGTTTTCACTAACTTTATATTACTATACTGATCTCAAAGTGAGAAAAATTGCCACATATAAGGTCTTGCCAAATTTCATACAAGATATAAATTTCTAAATTTTCTTCATGTTAATCAAAGTACCGTATTTGATGGCATATAAGACGCACCCTTATTTAGAAGGCCACACACAAGGAAAAAGATTCAATAGTCCTCGTGAGAGCGCGGTACCACAATAACATAAAATGTGGTTTCTTTTAGTTCTCGTGTTTCATAAAAGCCAAATAAACAATCATTGAATGCAATTACCAAACTTATTTTTATTAAGAAAAATTAACAAACGGCAAGCTATTTTGAACATGATATGTAAATTTCAATAATGAATAAATGAATGAACGGCAAGCAATCAAACATAATACAAAATAAAGCAGAAACAACAAAAAACACAGATTCAAGGAAAGCGTTGCCTATCATGAAATTACACTTTAATCATTTTCAAAACCATAAAAATCCTTTTCACTATCATCATCATCGAAAACGAGAATATCGTCATCACTACTGTTTCCGTCATCGCTAGTATCACCTTCTTCGAATAATGCGTCGTCTTCTGTTCCGTCAAGAGCATTACTTATTCCGCACTTCTTAAAGGACTTATCAATTACTCCAGCCTTTACGTCCTCCCAAGATCTTTTTACCCACTCTCACACTTGTGAAATAGAGGGCTGCTTCATTCTACCTGAGGATGTGAAGGTGTGATGTGGCTCTCCTATCCACTTGTTCCATCGTTCTCACACTTTTTCCTTAAATGGCTTATTCACCAGTACATCTAAAGGCTGCAATTGGCTAGTCAGTCCACCAGGAATGACAGCTATCTGGGTTTTAATTCTCTCACCTTATTCTTTATGGTTTCAGTTCTATGGGTGCTAAACTGATCCTAAACCAAAAGAGAGGGTTTTCTTAAGAGTCCACCAGGTCGCCTCGCCCATTTGTTCTGTAACCACAGTTTCATTCCAGCTTTTCGTCCATCCAGCCTTTCGGATGAACATGAACAATTGCACCTGTTGGAAAAGTTTTTCTTTCGGATGAGTTTTTTCTTTTGGAATATGATGAAAAACGGCAGTAGTTTTGTGCCATCAGCACAACATGTTAGAACTACCATATATCGGGTTTTTTTTTTCATGACCTGTGGTTTTTATGGTTATTGATTTATACCCTTTAATACTCACAGACATGTTGATGGTACATCAAATGTGAGTGGAATTTCATCCATATTTCCTATTTGACCGAGCTCAAAAGAAGTTTTCTTTCGTGCATTCATAACAAACCTATGAAATGCTAGTATTTTTTCTTCATAATCTGCTGGCATTTTCTGTGCAATAGTTGTTTTTGTGTGCATTGATAAGCTTTGCCTTTTCATGAACCTGTAGCACCAGCCCTCAGACCCTGAAAAGTTCTGATTCCCATGTTTTTCTGCAAATCCTTTGGCCTCATTGATTATCATTTTGGTTGAAACACTTATCCCAGATTTCCTCTTATCTATCACCCACATTTTTACGGCATTTTCGAGTTCAGGCCAAGATGGAGCTGGGCATCAAAGGTTATGTTTTTGTTTTTTAGCAGTTTTCAGTTGATCTTCCTGCAGTCGCCAAGTACGTATCATTTTTTCGGTAGGTGGTGGACCAAAATGCCTTGCTGCTGCTTTGTTTCCACTTTGGCGTAGTTTAACACTCCTAGTTTATACTGAATTGTATAGCTTAATCTCTTGTTTCCTGTAGTCATATTTTTCAGGGTATTTTTTAAAACAAATAGTTTTAAGCACCGATACTGACACGTTTATGCAGAGTAGCACCGATACTGACACGTGTGTTGGCTGAGTCAAAGAAAGTCTATGTAAAGAAGGAAAGGCTCCATAGACGTAATGTGACCGTCGAACCTGTTCGAACTTCGACATCAGCTTCGAGCTTTGGCACTTTTTGGCAACAGATATTTCATGCATGTGCAAAATAATTATGGCAGATGTAAAAAAAGTTATGTGTGTTATCTTTATCCAGGCTAAAAATAGCATTCAGTATTGAAAGTTAACCTGTGTCCTTCACGTATAAGACGCAGGTAACTTTTTTTGAGACCAAATTTAGGAAAAAAAAGTGCGTCTTATATGCCATCAAATACAGTATAGGGTTTGTTGATAATAAATTTTGTCAGTGTAAACTAGTTCTCCAAGTTCCAGGGAAAGCATAACTAATTTTCCAAGCTTTTTCTCAAATATGAATTCATTCCTCAAATTGAAAGGTTAGGTGGAAAAATGGATTTGCTTGATTTTTATCATTGAACTAATCAATAATTTTTAACAAAAAAAAATGTTTGTGCATGAAATTTTGCATTGCATGTTCATTTTGAGACTGAGTCACTCGTATAATTTTACTGTACAAAGTCCGAAATCTTAACATCCAGTATCTGGAATGATTTAATGTCTAAACATCCAGACCACCAGCAACTTATTTTTCAAAGGCTAAAAAATGAGAATGTAATAGTAAAAAAAAAAAAAAAAAAAGCAGTTTTGCCATAAAAGTAATTTTTATCCCAACTAACCAAGGTTCTTTTATGTCACTTTAAGGATAACACATTGGATGGATACTTGAATTAAAACTGACATTCAGCTGTTAATTCTTAGCAGTTCTTTCCATATATCTGAATTGATCGCTAGTAGAGGCCTGATGGACTGAGTATTCCTTGTATAGTCTCGTAAGAGAATCTATGGGAAAGAAAAGAGAGTCCTTTTTATATCAGAAATAGTCACTGCATCATGAAAAGGCAATCTAGTTAGCCCAGGAAAACTTAATTTTCATCATAATGTGCATTTCATAATTTTAGCTTATGTGTATAATTTTCTTTTATGTTTAGTTGTCCTTTATAAAACTGTAGGAGTTATTATGAATATGCTTATTTTCATAGGTGAAGAAGGTGAATTTGGATTGGCTTGTATACCAGGCCGAGAATTTGATTTTCAAATTAACCTCAAAAGAGCAATTGAATATGCTTATGGGCTTGGATGCCACCGGTAAATATACTTTTGCAGTATAATTTTAAAGTTACTTAAATTTAAGCCGAATTCAACTTATTGAATATATTGGAAAATTGTGAGTTTTAAATGAGACTGGCATTGAATTTATCTTGTTCCAGTGAGCCATCTGCTGGAATGTTTATGTTTCTTGAATGAAAGAAATCGCATGCCATTCTTGCTTTAAATTGCTTTAAATTTGTATGCTTCTCTGCATGCTTATAACATCTGCTTACATTTGACAAATTTTGCATTTTGAGATTGATTGTACAGGGTCTGTATTGAAAGTAATAGGACTGAATTAAAAAAAAATATTCACAATTTTGAACACATTGTCTTAATAGTTTTCAAAATATGCCCTTTCTGCATTCAACACAGCATTTCCAGCAACTCTCCCAATCATTGAAGACTTCGTGAGATGCTGTTCAACTTCCCGTTACGGCCTCTTGAATGGGCTAGACCAAGCCATGGTGGTTTTCTTTCGTGACCTTTCCAGTTAAAGAAAGAATAGCATCACACGGCTTCCCCAGCCTCCCTACAGCCCAGATGTCACTCCTTCAGACTTCTTCCTCTTCCCCTAATTGAAAAGGGTCACAAAAGTATGGCAGCATAGCTCGATCTAGGCCAATCATGAGTCCGTAATGAGGAAGCTGAAGAGCATTTCAGTTTCTGCATTCCAGGAAACCTTCAATGATTGGCAGAGTCGCTGGAAATGCTATGTTGATGCAGAAGAGATAAAATCTGTTAAGTTGATGGGTCAAAATTGTGAATATTTTTTTTTTCTTAAATATCCAGTCTTACAACTATCTGGACAAACCCTATATGTGTACCACTTTGGAATTTTGTAATTTGTAAATGGCAACTGGTTTTACAAATGTAAAAAAGTAAATTAAGGCAGCTTAGCAATTCTGTATCATTTTAATAAAGTTTTGATGGTTAAAATCTTTTATGCTGTGTAGGATGCATTTTCTCTCTTAAAATGAAAAATTTTAAACCATAACAGCCATTAAGTTTTTATAGAAAATTCACCTTCAACTAAAAAATATGGCTTCAGGTGTCTAAAATTTATCATGTATAGTATGATAAAGAAAAGGTACAAGCTAATATTTTTCTTCATTACAGTAATAGTAGTGCTAATTTCTGCACAAACAAGCTAGACAATATCATTTGCTTGTTAACTTTGGATGTAGATGCCCGCACTTTATGTGCGTTGTTCATTTGTTATGCAAATACCTCATGCGTGACAGTTTTGATTCTTTTTTATACAATTGCCAGTTTGACGTAAGTTTCTTAGTCAGTTTTTGGCATGTGCAATGTTCTTTTAAGATTTTCACAAATTTTAGAGTAATTTAAGTGAAATGGAAGATGATTCAGAACTCATGTTATAACTATCATTTGTACATGCTCAAAACGGAAAAAACCATCAGTTATTTACAAGAGAACAGTATAATACGTTTATTGCAAAAGTTAAGGAAAGCAGAGAAGACTATCAACGAGTATCAAGCTATGATATTATTAATATTGATAGTGTTGAGAAACTCATTGTTCCAGTGCAGAAGAAAAAAGGTCCGATTCTTTATTATACTTTTGTGGATGAGAATTTTCAAATAATCCACGAGATTCATATTGGAATCGGCCAAGGAAGGCGAAACAGAATGATGAGAGAAGGTCAAATATAAGAATATTACAAGTGAAATGGTGATTATTTATTTGAATCTTTCTGGACTGTATCAAAAGAAACAAAGTGTTGCAAGAAAAGGCAAGGTGCATCACTTCAAACTGTGCCTGGAGGTCTTAGATGTTTTCCTCAGGCGATGAAGGTGCATCCGGAGGGCGACCAAACAGAAGATCACAAGGCAGATGAAGGTCACAACCGATGAGCATCTGGGATGGAGAAAGCCGGTAGTCTGGTGTTTCTCTTCCACCCTGGTATGATTTCGGCACCTTTCTGAGCAGGGTCTTTCAGACAAGGCATCGACATTCCAGGTGAGGATCTCTTCTGATGATGGATAGTCATGTCCTCAGATGCTGAAAGCAGTTTGTTGGTTTTGAAGTTCAAGGAAAAATTGTATTTCCTGGAAAAGTCCAATCCGAGTATACAAGGATCTGTAATATCTGCCACATAATGCCATGTGATGATACGTGGCGTTTCCAAGCGTGATGTCCACGTTTAACTTCCCATCTATGTCGATTTTATCACCAGACACAGTCTGGAGGGTAACACAGGATGGCTTCCAAATGAGTTTATCTTTAAATTGTTAAGCCAGTTAAAAGCAGTGAATTTAATTTGATATGTTAAGACCTCATTGACATGCAATAACAAGCGGATGGAGACTTTTTAGTTTATAATGGTTTATCAAGACAATGTAATGAAATTTATTCAGTTAAGAGCATTAAAAACAAAATGAGCCGGAGGGATTGTTTATCGCCTATTGAATATGTTTATGATATTTAATGCATCTTGCAAAATGACAAGTATAAAATTATTGAAGAAGTTTGTGGAATGAAGTCAAAATTATTCATGGGAAAGCCAAGACATAGTCATAAGACTTAGTTAAAAGAGCAAACCAAGACATTCAAATGATATTATCCACTTGGCTTGAAACAAACAGTACAACCATGTGGTCAGATGGAATAAAATTCATTCAATTCATGAAAAACAGAGTACATCACTCTAGAGCAGATCACAGTCTATATGAAGTTATGTTTGGCTTGAAACCAAAAGTAAGTTTAAGAACGTATTTGGGAAACAATACCTTGACAGGAATGGCAAGTGAAGAAGATTTCATTGTATTAAGAAACCAGTCTGGTAATAACACCCAACATCGGGCAGCAATCTCAACTGGTGATGAGAATACAGGTGCAATGAATAATGGCAATATAGAAGTGCAACTGGGCCATTCTTTTGAAGACTTGGAGGTAACAACTGTAGCAAATTTAGTTGAAAATAGAAATTAGTGTTTTGGCAGAATTGAATGGGAATAACATGTTACTGAAAAAGAAAATACTGATGATGGAAAGAAAAAAAAACAGCAGTTTCGTTGATGTTGAACTGAAAGACTGCGAAGACAACATGGACATGCGAAGACAAAAGAGACTTCTCTTGCACTGCATGGAATCTCAGAGAATATTCAAAAAGCTCAACTTTCTGCTAAGCAGTCATCATATAAACAAACGGAAAAAGTGTTGCGTCTTTCAAAGTTAAAATTTTCGACAGCGAATGTAGGAGAAAACATGTGGATAAGAATACCAGAGATAGATAGAGGTGAGGTTGACAGCTGGAATGTTATAGCTGTCACAATTTCTAAGGAAAATGAAAACTTATGTAAACTTGGTGCAGAACATAGAATTTTAAAACAACTGTACGCAAAGAATGATTTTACTGTCTGCAAGGAAGCATTTATTTCAATGAAAGAAGGTTCGGCAAATGAAATAAGTTTCAGAGAATTTCCTTGTTTTGTTAGCATTCCCACCTAGGTGGTCAAGGATTTAAGTGTTACAATTGTAGAAGCAAATGCTACTCAAGCTGCTGCAAATGCAAAAAAATCAAAAACACTTTGTAACTCCAAATGTTACAGTAGCTCATCCTGCCAAAATAACTAATTTGTTATTGTGACATTCCCTTTGGGGTAAAAAAAATCCGAATGTGGTGGAAAACACTCTAATATGGATGTTTAATTTTATATTGAGCTTTGCTGTAATATGTTCTACTTAAGTAAATGCATAGAATCAATCCATGAGCTGTTTCAAATTTTATACAATTTATGGAAATAATATTAAAATTTTTGAACTCAAGTTTTCAAAAATTATCATTCCTCAATAGATATGACGATATATAAAAAATTGAACTTTCAAAGCTATTATTTAAAACTAAAACATAAGTAGAAATCCAAATTTCAGGTAAACCTTAATTAAGTCTGCTAATTCTACAATGATATATTTATTTTCACAGTACATAAGCACATAAAAATTATGTTAGAGTTGAAGTTTCAATAGGCAATTATTAATAATAACCAGATAATGTGATTAATGTTCATTATTTATCACATTTACCAAAAAATGTGGTTATTATTAATAATAGCCAGATTTATTTCTTTAACCGTAACAGATCCATCAATCTTGCAAAAAGCGTAGGTACTTTTTGGGTTAGCCGGGCGTAAGTGATAAATTGCCAAATATCCCGCTTTACATTTCTTAAGTTTATGAAAAAGAAATTGATCTTAAATGAAATGAATTATTCATTTTGTGAAAATGAGGTGTTTTATTTTCGAAATTGTTTATATTGTTAGTTTGTTGATAGTCATCGGAATGAGAAGTCTGATCTTGGCAACATTTGTGGCCGGCTAATGGAAAACGACAACACTGCCTTTTGTGTTACTTTGGCATCTTTGCTAATTCAAGACTTTTTTCCTCCACTCTCTAACTAGTTTTTCGTTTACAAAGAAATGCTAAGTGGTCATGCTGATAGAATATTTCTTGCTACTTATCTTTCAGACAAAAAATAAAGGAAATAAAATTAGCATAAATACCGCAGATTGTATAAAGGATAATGGGGGAAATGTGCTAGCTTCAGGTAAGTTTCCCAGAGGTAAAAACTATCATTGATGAGATATGGCAATTTAGTTTAACCCTCTGAGTATCTAGGGTTTTCGCCAAGAAAGCACAAATTTCCCAAAACAACTATGAGAACAAATTATTTTTTTGATTTTAATGTAAAAACTCTTCTTGGTATTTCCTACCTGGATTTGTGTACTTTTGATATATTGCCTTAATTTCTCTGACATATTTTAATATGCACGTATGTATATATATTAATTCTTATAGATATCACAAAAAATATTGCCGCTTAGAGGGTTAAAGTAGTTTGTTTGCAAAATATTCCATGCATTTTACTAGCTTGAGAACATTTTTGCCCTCATGGTGACAAGCTTGAATGTTACAGGATTTTGAATTGCATTTTAGCTTATATTCAGATTTTGAATTTTGAGTAAATTTTCAGAAATGCAGTTTCGTCTACTGCATGGATTGTCTTATTTTCAGACATACACGGTAATATAAATTATAGCTTGCGCAAAAGAAAAATGCATAATTGCGTCATATCTTTTCGGATTTTTTATGTTTATTTACTACAGGTCTGTGTCGTATTATATATTTTCTTATCTGTAATTATAGTTTTCACTGTGTACTAAATAGAAATTCTCAAAAAATGTGTTGTCGCTTTTTGCAGCATGAGAGGAATAACTTTTTTTTTTTTTTTTCACAAAATGTTAACTTTCAAAATGTTAACTTTGATAGTTTTAATTAGTGAGTTATGAATGAATAGCTAAAAACAGGATTAGAAAATTAAAAAAATTACTATACAAACTAATTTACATTTTGATTACCTCAACAGGCACAGAACTCTAACTTCATTCAACTGAAACATAATCCAAATCTCACTCCTTAACTATCTTTCACATTCATTCTATATGGAACTAATCTAGTTTCACTTTGGCAAAGTGACTGAGCCTTGTACTATATCTGTGGTGAATGCCTGCAATCTCCTGCAAATTTTTGTGAAATTTCTTTTTCTAAAAAATTCTTGAAAGTGCAAGAACACTCTAGAATGTATCATACTATTAAATCATTGTATGAAATATAAACTGTACTTCACTTTTATGGACTAATTCTGCAACTTTCGATGACTCTTTTTTTTGTGCTGTGTGAGATTTGAAGACATTCTGTGAGGGTGTTTTGTAGAGCAAAAGGGGAGGCTTGGTTATTTCAAGCTCTGGAAGGTTGAGTATTTGCCGCAGAGATGTGGTGGTGCCGAACTGCCTAACTTTTCCTTAAATCTGTCTAAAATTCTTCTTAATAATAGTATGAAGTCTGTAATTCATTGAACACGTGTAGGATTGGATTATTCAATTACGGCAAAGCACGCAAGGGCTATCTCTCTAAAGGGAGGGATGTCATTGTGGAGGACTTTCTACCGGAAATGGGGGAAACTACAAAAACACCCATGCAGCCAGCCTGCTCGTTTGATTCGAACCTCGGACCGAACTACCAATGTTCAAGGGTCTTGACTGCTCGGCCGCTGGTGGGCGAACACGTATAGGATTTACAGCATTTAACATGTTTCAGGAATTTGTCACATATTTTTCAGTTCCTGTTTCCTTTTATAGTATGGAAGGAAGTTTCTCAGCTCAATGAAACATACATCATCATGTTATTTTCCTTTGCAGTTGCTTTCTTTTCAAGACATGTTTTATGAATGCTTTTATCATATAAGCATTTATAGTGAATTGTGATGTTAGTGGAACCTGGAATGATTATATTTGTTAGAATTGCCTTTTTCCCACATTAAAATAAATTTCTGGAGGCTATAATGTACCTCATAGAGATATGTAGGGAAAGAGCCTCTACATATATAGAATTTATTGTTATATGGTTTGTGTCAGTTCTTGGGGTAATGCTCTTCATCCTTGGAAAGTAGAATTATGGCCAATTTGACAGTAGCTTTGTGAAGATATTCTTTACAAATGATTTTAGTTACAAATTTGGTCATTTAATATCAAGCTGACAAGCATAATTGTTTATGCTGTTTTCTTTCGTGATTTTATCTGTGAGCTCATTCTTATCGTGGTGTAAAAAGGCACCAATCCAGGGTATACTGAATTCCTTAACTCTTTCGCATCGAGAGAGGGCAAAATCTTAATTCCCCAAACATTGAAAACGCCCGTATCTAAGAATTTCTCCTGGAATGCTTTTCCTTCCCCATGACAAGTTGAATACTACAGCGCTAACAATAGCCTTACTTAAGTAAAGCAAGAACTTCTTTCTTCGACGCTTTTTGACACTGTGTGAAGTTCCACCTTGGGACGGGATTGCAACTTCGGGCATCAAAAGCTAAACACTGACAGTAAACAAAGGAAAGAAAGAAACAAAGGAAACAAGGAAGCTACTTTTAGTAGCTTCAAAAGAATGATTGACATGTGATTTAACAACACCTGAAAGCAATGAGTAATGCAGTAACGTGATGGGGGAAAGCACTGGGTAGGAAATTATTCAGGCGTTTCGGGCGTCCAGCCGATGTCTGAATGTTTGGGCGTTTGGGGCGACTTCGATGTGAAAGAGTTAATTTAAGTTGTTAGTCATGCATGTTAAAATCTTTTGGACTATTTCCAAGTTCTGCTAGGGATTATTTAAGGCATGAAGAGCAAACAGGCAATCGAGGAATCTGATTATTATTGAACCTACTTGAAATTCACTCTTATCTCTCTTGTGAAACTGCATGTTGCCACAATGTCCAATGTTTCTTCAGTGTGTTTGGATTCAGCCTTATCTGGCTTGTTCTCATAGAAACACCTTGTTATTTGTTGCAGCGAGATTGGCAAAACATCTGCTAGGTAGTATAATTCTGGCAGAAAATTGAAATCATATGGCATACAATATCCCAGAATACCATGCAGATTGTGTCCAGCAATTTAACAGCTTATATTGCTGATAGAAGCAGATGCTTGAAGTTCTGTTTTCTGCATGTTCTATATCTCAAAATTACCAGAAATGTTCCTTCTGTTATAATATATTTGTGAATTCGTTTTCTTTGTGGTGTAGCAGTTCTTTGACTGGCAGTTCTTTTAACTTTTGGTGCAAATAATATATTTAAATGTCATTTTGGTAAAATCGCTTTCAGAAAAAATTTTTTGCAAAGCCTTTTCGAGTGATTTGGCTGATATTTATTGTACATTGAAAGAAATTAATCTCATCTTTGTGAGAAATCAACTGATATCTCCTGAAGTGGTGTGATTTTGTTTCAGTAAAATGGTATAAACTGAGATGAAACTGGAATAAAAATTGCAGGTCTTAAGTACTGTGGCTTATATTTTAAGTTTAATGTATGTAAATTCGAGGGCTTAAATACATTATTTTTTGTTTTTCATACATGATAAAAGTGCTTTTAATTTGCATACATTTAATGCAATTCTGTTTAATTTACAGATTTTGAATACAAGATTTTATTTAATGTGATGCTTTTTGATTACAGAGTTCATATTCTTGCTGGTTTAACCAGCAAGAATTTTACGAATGATGATTTTACAAGAACATATGTGACAAATTTAAGAATTGCAGCTGAAATGTTGGAAGAAGTAAATCATTTGCTTTATTTCTTTGTTTTGTACTTGTCTTTCCCCTTCTGAAATTTTGTACAAAAATATTTTGTTTTAAAATTTTGTTCTTTTCCTTAAAGTTTTGTAATTTGAATAAAAAATGTTACAAAAATATTTTACTGTGGGATAGTTTTATATTTTGTATAGTCATAATTTTGTAATTTTGTTTATTAAAATGTCTAAATAAACTCATAAGAAAACAGATACTGAATATACAATAAAGAAAAGGGTAGAGAGAAAATGTGAATGATGAGCAAATTTAGTACTAAGACCAAGGTTCGGATTACCGGGACTTTGGCAATTCCAGATTTCAGAAATTTGTAGATTTTTAGGTCATGAGTTCAAATCTAGTAATATGCTATATAGGCATGGTTGCACTATGGCTTAACTTATTGTTAGGTCAAGTAGGAAATGGTCAGGTGTTCCCCCAGAAGTGTGAATATGGTCAACATCAGTATAATGTATTGCCATTGGCCTTCATACCATTCCCTAGCCAGCAATTGTTTGAAAGTGACATGCAAGAATCTCAGTAAAAGTATGTTTATCTCACACCTGCTTTCTTTAGTTGAGTATTTATATTCTTAAGTCTGAGTACATTATGAGGGAGAAATTTTAATTTATTTTTTGGATGGGAGAATATTTATATCAGTCCCAATATTGTATGTCTGAATTTCAGACTTTGTACTGTATAGTCTTAATTTGTGATGTACTAGTATGTGTAATGCAGTACAAAGTCCGTAATCCGGACGTCCATTATCTGGAACGATCTATAATCCAGACCTCAAAGCTACAAACTGTTTTTTTTGGCATGCTTTACGCATGTGTGTTAATGCGCGCGCGTATGCATATTGAGAGGATGTGTCTCCAGATACGTTAAAAAATGCTTGGCATAACTTATGGCCAGCTACCGTATTTCATGGTGAGGACGATGAGCTCAAATTTGAAGGTTTTCAGACATCACAAACTAAAAATGAAATTTTCCACTTATTGGATTTTGTAAAGAAATGTGGAGAAGCAGTAATAAATGAAGATAATATAACAGAAGTTTTCCATTGTGACGACAGTGCCCCAATCATCAATCAATTAACGGACGGCGAAATCTGTAGTATGGTTCTAGATCCAGAAAATACCGCTTCCTATAGTGAAGAAAGTGACAGAGAGGTTATTGAAAACGAAAAAATTTCGATTGACAAGTTGGTTGGTATTCTCGACACAGCAATTACAGGACTTGAACAGTGGAACTTTGTAACTGAACAAGAAATTATGTCTGCTTATGGAGTTAAAGAGAAAAATATTAGCACAAAAAACAAAGCAACTTAAACAACTTACATTAAAAGAAATGTTTAATAAAGTAAACAAATAAATATTAAGCTTTTTTTACTTGTAAATTTTGATACCATTTAGATTGTAATTGCTCTTTATTTCAGAAATTACGGTTTCATATTTTTAATTGTATAATTTCTGCATGCCATCTTACCAGATTTAAATTGATTATCTATAATCCGAAAAAAACCCTAATCTGGAATCGCTGAAGTCCCGACTAGTACGGATTACGGACTTTGTACTGTATTATATTTTTCTTATAAATTTATGTTTCTCAACCTCTTGACATTTATGAATACCATTATAAAAAATATTTATTTATTACATTTAAAAGTATTTTTTAAAAGGGATATTTTGTAGCCTTCTAGTTTTAATTTTGATGGTAATTTTGGTGTTAAAATGCTTCAATGATGACTAGTTATAATATGAATACTGAAATTCTGCTGGAAAATAAAGAATGAAGTTACAGAAATGCTAATTAAATATTTTATTGTTTCATGCAAGCTAATTTTTTAAATAAATAATACATACCTTCGGTGTATAAAATATTTTATACTGGTTATCAAAATTAATCAATAATGAGAAATAAAGTAACTGATACTTAATGAAAACTAATTAACAGAAATTTCTTAAAAAAAGCATTAATTAACATAAATTCTAATGTTCGGCAGTTGATTATTTGCAAAATATTGAAATTACCACCAGAGTGTTGATCAGGTGTTGTGGAATTGCACATCACTCTTCTAAAAGTGCATCCTCAGCTCCTGGAGAGTCTGGGGAAGAATTTTGTGCCCTGATGCATTCTACCTACAACATCATAAATCAGGTTCAAGTCAGACGAATAAGGTGGCTAAGCCCTTCAGAGTTGTGTTCTGTTTGCAAATATTCTGATACCGCATATGTTTGATGAGGCTGAACACTGTCATCCATTAGCAAAACTGGTTGTATTGGACCAGTTTTATAGCACCCCTAAACAAATAAATTGAGATTTCAATACCTCATCCATATATCTCCAAACAGTTGCAGAACCTTCTTGAAAGATATGCAGCTCGGTGTGGCATTTGTCATGATTGATTTGACAGATTATTGCATAAAACTTTTCATGAGAATTTGCAAGCTATGTTGGAGCATAGATGGTTTCAGAAACAGACTTCTGCTTAAGGATAAAGCTTCTTTTCATGTTTCTGGCGAAGGTAATTACCGTAATTTACGATTTTGGGGCACGGGAATTCCACATAATGTAATGGAACATGAGCGTAATTCTCGAAAAGTGAACATTTTCCACACCATTTCTAACATTTGTTTTTAGACAAATGTTGGAAATGGTGTTCTTTTTCTTCATGGAAAAATCTAGTAACAGGTGGATTTACCAAGATGTGCTGTCAGAGTGGTTGTTCCCTTAGGTAGAGGAAGTGGTTCCCGTCTTCATTCTGCTGCAAGATGGTGCTTTACCACATTGACATAAAAACTTCAGCCAGCAGCTGATTATCTCCCTTCGTTGGATTGATCAAGTTGGGTCAAATGGTATGCCATTGCTATGTTGGACCACCGAGAGCCCTAGATCTAACCACTTGCAATTTCTTCCTGTATGGTTTTGTTAAAGACAAAGTATTCATGCCTCCATTTCTCCAGGACTTTCAGCAATGGAAGTAGCAAATAACCAAATTGCTTGAATCATGAACAAAGGATATTCTATCGCGAGTGCGGCAGGAATTGTAATACGACATACATATTTGCTATGTCACTGGAGAGGCACCCATAGGTCATCTATAGAAACTTGAATAGCTGTAGTTTCACTGTAAATTTTATTTAGCAAACTAAAGTAATTACTGCATTCATATGTATGCTTTTTGTCCCATTTAATTTGAAACACCCAATTAAACCTTCCTTAAGGTCATAAAAGATAAGAAAAATCAGTAATGAGTATTATTTCCATGTTAGTCAGTAACTGCTACATGCTGTGGCATTGAGTGAAATAGACTTTGGACAAGTTGTTAGGAAATGGCAGCCTCCACATGTATCCAAAGTTCATCTGGTCTACCCTATAGGTGTGGCATGCTGAGGTAGGCATTCTCCAATCATTCACCAGACCTACCTGAGTTTAATTATTCAAATTATCTCATTTTGAACAATCCTTGCATAGTGTTACAACATGTATTTTACAAACCAATTTGTTGGAGTTTTTACAAGATACAGAGGTTTTGTGATCATCTCTTCTGAGGCACATACCACAGTGTCCTGAAGCCTGTCTTTGGAATTTCTTAGGTTGAAGGTCTTCTGCATCTTCTATTCCTGCCAATCCTTTTACACCAATTTTGAGTTCTTTCAAGATAGATGGAATTGCTTTTATTAGGAGATGTTCTTTTACAAATTGTAATGCTAAATCTTTTAGAAAGCTCTTTGGTTCATATTACTTCGTCACTATTTGATTGATGAATAATAAAAGTATTTATACCTGCAATATTCATTAAACCGAAAAATACCATTAGAGGCCAATGGTGGCATTTTCTTGAAACAAAGTAAGTTCCACATAACTCATCTACAGTATCTACACCACCTTTTGTAGAGTTGTAAAAAGTTATCATTTCGGGCTTGAGCTGCTCTTTTGACAATGAATCATTGTATGTAATTGTTTAAATGTATACATCGCAAATTTTCGACACGTTTTGAAATGTTTTTACCTTTTTTATATTATTATAAGAAAGATATTATTCTCATGCATGGATGATAGAATAAGAAGCGATTTACTCTTTTTTTGGAACATATAATGTAAGGGTTGATTCTGTAGCTCTAAACCCAAAAGGTGAGTCCAGAGGCCTTTTTAATTTGTCAGAAATTCTTGTAGAATTTCACACTTTTTGAAGTGTTCCAACACATGCCAGTTTGTGCTTTTTCAAAAAGTCATTGGCCAAGGGAATGCTCATATACCAATTTCCGTAGTTATGTATCGTGCAAAGGAAAAATTTTTATTCCATATCTTGTCTGCTTACATTTTATGTATTGTCTGAGTTCATACTTTCCTTGAAAAGGGCTTTAATTTTTCATCTGTGCAATATTCAAATAGAGAATATATTTTTTTGTATGTTTTAATAATATTTTTTTTGAAACATTTGTAATAGGTGCTAGTCTATCTGTCATCCTTTGCTGTGCTCATGAATTTTTTTCATCAAACCTAATAAACCTCAAAAGGAAGTGAATCGGTTAATGGAAACTGTTATTTGAAAAATAGTTATTCCTCTTCTGTCAGTTGACCACAAATCTTTTGTGTTTAGATGTGCTGCTCTCAGCACCCCAGCATAGTATAATAGTCCAAGCAGCACCTTCACTTCAGCCATGTTTGTGTCTTGCCATCACATTCTCTAGAGAATTTGTTTCTTATTGATGAAATGTAAATATTTGTTGATGTTACTGAATCTTCCATTATTTCATCATCAAAAACTTGCAATAAACACTCAGCTGACTTTTTCAAATTTCTAAGACTTTTCTAGACACCAGGTAAATGTGTCACTATACTGTGCAGTCGTGTCTGAATGTTTTTAAGGGGCAATATTTTACTCCATTTTGTTCTATCTTTTCCCAGATAAGAATCATCTGATGTCAAAGAAGATGTGCTCCTAAATCATGAGAGTCATCAGATTCCTGTTCAGAATCACTTT